AATTCGCAGCTGTGTTTTCTTGTGAAATGAAAAGACATTTTAACTTTTTCCATGTAATATTAGTAGATGAAACAAATTCTGTGTTGCAGAAGTGGAAGCCGCGAGCGATCGCCATCGGTTGCTAAATCAAGCAGAAGCCGCAGTGGCCATGCACGATCAAAAAGTGGCGATCGCTACCGGTCACCGCTTGGCTCCGATCACTCTTTGACACGCTCTCGTTCACGACAGAAAACTAAAGAGGGCCGCTCAAACAGAGTATCAAGCCGTCAGAGTTCCCCAGGTAACATACCTTTACACTCTTTTACGATTCGTTTTCTAAAGTCAGAAAATGAAAGAGCGTAAATTTGTCTAGAAAAATTTGCACAGATAGAGCAAATTTTGATTTTTTTTTTTTTTTTTTTTTGGCTGTACAACTTTGTTTTTAAAAAGTCTAAGCTTTTCTGGATGTACGAAAATCCTTTTCTAAATTGTTCAGTAAACGTTTGTAATGCATGTTCTAGGATATGACGTTTCACAAAGAACTGACGATGAGTCGCAAAAATCTCAGGAGCAGTTGTCTGAAAACATTACCACTTTGGATGAAGTGACCGAATCGCGCTTATCATTCAGTCGTTCAGCAACTCCTGAAAGCAGTTTCGCAAAAGTAGAAACTGAGATGAAGCCAGAGAAAACGAAGAAACATAAAAAGACAAGGGAAAAGCACAAGAAGAAAAAGAGGAGTCACCACAAAAAGTAACAGCACCATTTCTCAAAAACTTTTACTTTCTTTGCGAATTCAGTTTAGTTATTAAGGCACGGTCGTTTTTCTGCTCCCCGTGCTAAACCCCCTTCTATTTTTGCTTTTAATAGGTAGAGTAGATGCCGACATTTTATGTTTTACTAAACATTTTATACATTTTATTATTCGATTTACATATAACAGAGTTGGTGTTTAGAAGAGAAAAAAGGAAGCGAAGTCCTTCTGCGCTCGAAAGTGTCTCGGAATACAAACAGAAGATATCACCAGATGGG